TTGGTTTTTTTTTTTTTTTTTTTTTTAAGGTTAAGTTGACAAACTCCTCTAGACATATACCACCTTCACTGTATATTTTTTCCGAGTAGGTATAGAATAATACAGTGGGTTCCCGATGAAACCGCTTTTGGGAAACGAAAGTCAAGAGTTAAAAAAATTGAATTTGGAAGATTTGACAGTTCCAAAAACAGAAGAAGAGGTCTTCGGTGGTGTCAACGTGGTGAGCTGGGAAATTGTTATTTTATACAAGGAGATAGCGAGAGAGAGATGATAATAAATGAGACTGTTTTTTGTTGAGTAATATGCCTGCTTTCATCCTATTTATCTTTTTCTCTGTCGCTTTGTTGATGTACGCTATTTTTGCATAACGTCGAGCGTTACCCAATAAGTCAGAAAGCTCTTCCTCTCATTCCGACTTCCCCCTTTGCTCTGTCTCTTTCACCATCCACCAATTTCGCGATCTTTTCTTCTCTTGGCTTCGTTATCACCATTGTTCTCTCCCTTCACCTCCATTTCCCTCCGCACTCTGTTCATCTCTTGTCGCCACACGGAACCAAGTGCCCATTTCCTCCATCCACAAATTCTCATCCTCCCTCTCGCTCAACTCACTTCGACCTACCTCAGTACCTCCTTACTTTCCCTCCGTTTGCCTAAAAAAACTCTTGAGAAACAGACAACATAAGCCGTCTCTTGCTAGTGTCTCTTTGCCGCCGGCTCACCACTTCCTGCTTTCCTATCCACCAGGGAAAGCTACTTAATTCTCCTTTTTCGTGCTTCGCTCAACCAAAGCTCAGGGTGCTCGCACAGCCGTTGGCCTTCCTCTGTCATCTGCTGATCCCCTCTATTCCTTCCATCTCACTGTGGCCACTTGGTAAGTTTATACTCTTTCCATTTTAAACAAGTCTATGAAGCTTGAGGATTTTGTTTTCTCCTGATTTGTGTCTATGAGCCGTATTTCCAGTATATTGCTAGTAAATGTTCTTATCTTGCGGTTTTGCTCATGTTTCCGTGGATTGAGAACTTGCTGGTAAACTAACTGGGTTCTTGGATGTTTAAATGAAGTTTCGGATGTGACACTAAATATATATATCTTAAAGAAAAAAGTGTTCATATAAGTTTGTACAAGGTTCCAGAATATTAGAAAACAGCATTTAAGATATTTGGGGTTTATTCAACCACATGGATGAGGTTCCCGAACATAGTATATCAGCAAAAAGGAGTTTTTTTTTCGTCATAAAAAATGTCAAACATTTCTGGGTTTTCCAATGTTGTATGG